CTTGAGCATGGCTATAGTAAAACATTTGTTTTGTAAAACACCCGCTTAGTCCGTTATGTGCAGAAACGAAGCCATGAAAGAATAACGATATACTTCGGAGTCGTAGCCCAGACAGTAGTCATATTGAAGATTAGTATGTGTGCGTTGTTGGAACCATGATGCCAACTATCATTCAGAAAAAGACGCACATATTAAAATAGGGAAATTCTTTCTTAAAATAGCAACATTAGTTAACAATTTGTACGAACTAAGCTCTTTCTCCTGCTATTACGTTCTCTTTTGTGATGGCCCTTCCTAGCAAAAAAAAATGCTACTGCTGCCCACTAGCTGAGGTGAGCTGTGCACGCCTGAGTTAGGTAAAATTGTTAATAGCCACTACTTTACCTATGCCTCCATGTTCAGTTAACAATGACGGTTGCTTACTCGTAATTATTATCGTGGATAGAAGGGAAGCATCACGCGGATTTCCCATTGCTCTTTTAAACTGCTGGTGATAAGGAGCCAACCCTAACTTGAGATACCTAACTTCTTACAGATGCCTAAATCTGCAATGCATGTTTCAGGTTGGCAATTTTACAGTTGTCAATTAACTTCTCTTCTGCACGAACGTTCGCATCACTTGATGCCGCAAACGTTGAGATTGTGTAATCAACTAAGACAGTATTTTTTTGTTTAGGACACTAACACTACATGACAGGTTTATGGTAAACCTCATACTTTGTAAGTTCATCAACAGGCCGCACAGCGTAGTGCTTCATTAGCTACCTGGCACGTTTATCATTACTATGGCCGACAAAGTGAATTTTAAAACGAGTATGCAGAAAAACACCTCCACTTCAATTTTGAGAATGAATGCAGCGGCGCACGCTTGCGACCTTACTCGTAGTATCAGGTTGGGAAAATATGAAACCAAGGTATAATATCAACATGTAGGCCGTTTACAAAGCACGAAAGCATTTTACGGAAGGTTATGATACATTATCCGCAATATAAAGAGATCTGCTGTTCCATAAACTTGTCCTTAAGCCATCCAGTGGGCACCATCCTGGACACAGAGATTTCAAACAATTGCGTTGGAAACTTGTTTGTACGATTGCAAGCCTAGTTCGCATGTGCATGTTTCTACGTGCTGAAAATTCATACTGTATAGTTTTTCTAATATCCAGTGAATACATCACTATCTATTACTGAGTATTTGTATTTTTTTAACCAAGCATTTTGAAACACCACAACGGACATACATGCGGTCACTTGGGTCGAATGAAATAAAAAACTGATGTATGGTGAAATATCTTCCAATTCGCCTATAATATTTCTTCCTTCAGTACTTGTGGGGTGTCATCTGGGTTACTGCAAGTTCTTATAGTAAAAAGGTCGTGATTGTCCTGGCTACTGTGCAGATATCTGTAAAACTCCTCCGCTATTTTAACTACCCTATCCATATCGATAGTTATTTTGCCTACTTTGTCTCTTAGTGCATACATCCAATTTTCACCTATACCGAGTTTCCTCTTCACTGTTTTGATGCTTCCTCCGTTTTTCAAAGTGTGTCCAATTCTCTACATGTTATACCTTTTTACATCGGATACCTTACGCTTATTATTCAACTTTGAAAGCTCGGCCAGTTCTATATTGTCTGTTGTAGATGAGACTTTTGTGCTTTGAGGCTTCTTAATGAGATTCTTCGTTTCCTAGGAAAGCTTGCCAGTGTCCTGTCTAACTACCGTGCCTCAAACTTCTACTGCACACTCCGTAATGATACTCGTCAGAATATCATTCATTGTATCTACGCTAAAGTCGGTTTTCTCAATGAGAGCCGAGTATTTGTTTCGAAGTGAGACTCTGAATTCCTGTACTTTCTCTCTCAGTGCTAGCTTATTAATTGGCTTCTTGCGTATCCGTGTCTCTCATGCCTTCTTCAAATCTAGGCAAATTCGAGACCATATCATTCTGTGGTTATTGCATCCTACCTTGCCAATCACTGCCACATTCTGCACAATGCCTGGGTGTGCACTCATTATACAATCTATTTCGTTTTTATTTTCGCCATTAGGGTCCCTCCAAGTCCACCTACGGGTTCCTTGTTTTTGGTAGAAGGTATTCAAAATCCGTGAATTGTTGCGCTCTGCGAATCGTACTAGTAGCTCTCCTCTGAAATTTCTTGTACCGATGCCATAATCTCCTACTGCCTGGTCTTCAGCCTCCTTCTTCCCTACTTTTGCATTAAAGTAGCCCATCAGTATAGTATATTGTGTTTTTACATTACTCACTGCCAATTCCACATATTCAAGGAAGCTTTCAACTGAAGCGTCATCATGGCTGGATGTAGGCGCGTAAGCCTGTAGATACTTTCAACTCGTATCTCTTATTCAGTTCAATTACAATATCTACCACCCTTTCATTAATGCTATAGTATTCCTCTATGTTGCCAGCTATGTTTCTGTGAATTAGGAACCCCACTCTCAGTTCTCTTCTGTCAGCCAAGCCCCGATAGCAAAGAACGTGCCCATTATGTAGCACCGTACGGGCCTCCTCTTTCCTCCTAACCTCACTGAGACCTAATATATTCAAATTACCACCCTCTAGCTTCTCGAATAGTTCAGCTAGACTTGCCTCACTAGATAAGGTTCCAGCGTTAAATGTTGCCATGTTCAGGTTCCAATGGCGGCCTGTCCGGATACAGATATTCTTAGCACCCTCTGCTGCGTTGCAGATCTGACCGTCGTCATGGTTAGTTGCTTTGCAGCTGCTAGGAACAGAGGGCCGTGAGGGCAATGAGGGCCATGAGGGCCGTGATACTCAGGCTCATGACCAGTAATATTAGAAGAAGTCAGAAAAGCTTTGGAGAGCATGCAAAGAGGCAAAGCTGCTGGTGAGGATCAGGTAACATCAGATCTGCTGAAAGAAAGATGGAAGACAGATTGTGTTAAAAAAACTAGCCACCTTGTTTACGAGGTGTCTCCTGACAGGAAGAGTACCAGAGTCTTGGAAGAATGCTATTTTTATCTTAATACACAAGAAAGGAGATGACAAGGATTTCAAGAATTACAGGCCAATCAGCTTGCTCTCCGTAGTACACAAGCTATTTACAAAGGTAATTGCTAACAGAATCAAGAAAATATTAGAATTCAATCAACCAGAGGAACAAGCAGGATTTCGAACAGGCTACTCAACAATCGATCACATTATTACTATCAATCAGGTAGTAGAGAAATACTCAGAATACAGCCAACCTCTATACATAGCCTTCATTGATTACGAGAAGGCGTTTTATTCAGTCGAAATATCAACAGTCATGCAGAAACTGCGGAATCAAGGCGTCGATGAAGCGTATATAGACATCCTGGAAGAAATCTACTGGGGATCAACTGCTACCGTAGTGCTTCGTAATGAAAGCAACAGAATACCAATCAAGAAGGGTGTAAGGCAGGGGGACACAATCCCCACAATGCTATTTACCACTTGCTTACAGAAGGTTTTCAGAGGCCTAAAATGGGAACAGTTAGGGGTAAGAATTTATGAAGAGCACCTTAGTAACCGGCGCTTCTCCAATGAGATTACATTGTTGAGTAACTCAGAGGACGAATTGCAACTCATGATTACGGAGTTGGACATAGAGAGTAGAAAGGTGGCTCTTAATTTAATCTACAGAAAACGAAAGTATTGTACAACAACCTTCGGAAGAGAGCAGCGCTTCGAGACAGGTAATAGTGCACTTAAAGTTGTAAAAGACTATGTCTACTTAGGCCAGGTAACAACCCCGTAGCCGAACCACAATATTGAAGTAACTAAAATAAAAGAATGCGGTGTGGGACATTTGGCAAGAACTTTCAAATTATGACAGGTAGATTGCCACTATCGAAAGGTATATAACAGCTCTATCTTTCCGATACTTAGCTACGGAGCAGAAACCTGGAGACTTACAAAGAGGGTTCAGTATAAATTGAGGATGACGCAGCGAGCAATGGAAAGAAAATTGGTAGGTGTAACCTTAAGAGACAAGATGGGAGCAGAGTTGATTAGGGAACAAACGGGGGTTTAGGATATCATAGTTGAAATCTAGAAGAAGAAATGGATATGAGCCGGGCATGTAGCGCGTAGACAGGATAACCGCTGATTATTAAGGGTAACTAACTGGATTCCCAGAGAAGGCGAGCGGGTTGAGGGGAGGCAGAAGGTGAGGTGGGCAGATGAGATTAAGAAGTTTGCGGGTATAGATTGGCAGCAGCAAGCACAGGACCGAGTTAACTGGCGGAACACGAGAGAAGCCTTTGTCCTGCAGTGGACGTAGTCAGGCTGATGATGATAATATTTATTACCTTGTGTTTTTTTTTTTGCTGGGCAGTATAAAACAACTGATCGAAAATAACATTCAGGCTGAAAAACTATTATGGCCCTGAAATCGAGCACTCTCAGACGAGGCAAACGGTACAATTAATAAAGCTCGTCGATCGCGCATTTTTCACTTATAATCAATTCAAATGAGGACATAAAGCAAACACACGTATACTCTAGACGCTTCAATAATTACCTTACTTGTGTAAAAAGATCCCATTTCACTACTTGAGTGGCAAAAACATTGTTAGTAATACGAATCAATTGATTGATATGTCGGGTTTAATGTCCCAAAACAATCATATGAATATGAGAGACGCCATAGAGGAGGGCTCCGGAATTTTCGACTACCTGGGGTTCTTTAACGTGTGCCCAAATATGAGCACACGGGGCTACAATATTTCCGCCTCCATTTTAAATGCAGCCGCCGCAGCCGGGATTTGATCCCGCGACCTGCGGGTCAGCAGCCGAGTACCTTAGCGACTAGACCACCGCGGCGGGGCAGTAATACGAAATCAAGAACGTGAAGATGCGCAATGCAAGCAAGTCTGTTATGTTTGTGAAAATTCGGAAGATAAAACGTATTTCTCCGATGTGACGTCTTTTTAATTTGAGGTCATGCAGCTAAGAACAATTACAACAAGAAATTTAAGAGTAGGGCATACCTGCTTTCCGAGCGTGAAAGGCATCATGGGACGGTATCCTCTGGATGACTCCAGCAAGTCTGAACCTGGTGAGGGAATGCGCAGGGTCGTTGTTGACAAGATCGACTGCGCTGCGGAACGCACTTTCGGAGTCACGCTCCCCGTCCTCGAAAATGGCTCCTGCAAAAAAAAATACATCCGCAAATTATTGCGAGGGAGATGATGACCCAGAGGAAAGAATTCTAAGCACTGCCGCATTCAGAGTTCATATTTCTGGTGGAACCCACACAAATCCGCGTTCTTCCTTGCTTGAGGCTATGATGCGCCACCTGTGGGCTGTTATTACTGTAAGATGAGGTTTTGTACAGGCGTTTGCGTATTCAAAATTCTGGCTGGGTGTAGTCGGAGTTCGAATGAAAGCGTGAATAGAAAAAGAACCAAGACGTGAGGCACATATTGTGAAAGGGCTGTTTCAACGCATGCAGAATGTTTGACGTAAACAATTATTTCTTCATACAATGGGTATAAAATTGACGGTATGAGGGAAAATGGGTGGTACTAGTTCAGCTGCCAAACTATACATTTGAACGCGATGGCTTTATTTGCCATCAACTACTTCATTTCTCTCATTGTGTGAGGAGCTTGTTGTTCACTATGTTATAAACTCACAGTTGGTAATTTTCATACTACACTTGACATCAGACAATTTTCAAGAATAGAGATGTCTGTGCTTGACGTAAGTGTTCGTCTGATATAATGAACCGTGCTTCGTATATTGTGGTGCTCCCAGTGTATACGCTTTTTCAGCTCATAATTTTTGAAAGAATAATGAACAGCTGCAGAAGAACTGGGCGAAAATGTTTATGACAACATGTTGTTACAAAACCTCCAATTCTAACGGCTCATCTTAATTCTGCTCTGTAATTAGACAGTACTTCGACAGCACAAAAAATCAAGTAATCATTATATTACAGTGATGCACAGCCGTGTATAGAATAACCATGCTTTGTAATATAATGGCGTGGAAGCGGGAACTAGAAGTGAGGATGAGAAGGAGTGATCTCACAAAGAACAAAAAGGGTAAAGCGCAGAATACGTACGCAAGGTTTAAGACAGGAACTACCGTGAATATAACAACAATGTTTATCGAGGTACATTAAATAGTGGACAATAGAAGAAAAGGTAAAGTAAACGTAGGGAGAAGCAACGTCAGAAAGAGGGTGAAAACAGCATTGGGATTGTGACGTATAGTATAGCCACTCTCGTAAAACACAACAAAGAAAAAGTAAAATTCGTGTGAGGTGGAGGAAATGTGGAAGACAAGGGTATAAAATAGCACAGACATGTGTTGAAATTTGCCGGTTTTGGGGAGAGGGGAAGTAAATGAGGATGAGAAGGATGAAATTAAAGATGGTTTAATGAAACTATAACATAGCTATGAATACTATCCCACAAGAAAAACCGCGTACTCACAGGCATGCATGGTATTATACAATAAGCTTGCGGGAAATGGAAGGGAAGGTAAGTGGGAGACGAACTGGAAGGAAAGAAGGTAAAGCACGGCCTAGCAAAGTATGGCGTCCCGCAGGAAATATCATGTATAATTGTACACATATTTGGGCGAAGTCGGACTTGTCCGTCTTGGTACCTAGGAGGACGAAACATAGAAGATACGAGAGAAGGTTGTAAAAGAAGCGTAGGTGAGGGGTTGGGGAGGGTAGAGCATAACATATCCATGCGTAATATAGCGCAGCGTGAGGTCAGAGAGGGAGGTTAGGCTGAGGAGGAGTGGTGCGAAGATTGGAAAGGCGGAAAGCACTAGGGGAAGAGTTCGCATAGCATAGTTTTGTATTGTATAGTACAGCAAGTGGTGGAATAGAGGAGTGGTATCAATGGAGGACGGAAAAAAAAGGCTCTAGTATTTTGTGCAAGACTTGGCGTAGTAAATTACAGGTACGCCATCGCTTGTACCAGGAACTTCCGTGTTTCTTACACTACAATTAACACGTTCGTAGCTTGTCCCCATATCCCATAATGTCTATTGCCATGCGTGAGAAGTCCAATGTTCATGAAAGGTATTCAGGGCGACATCGTTCTCTGTGCAACCTTGTTGGGTCGTATTGGTGTTACCGGCTTCAGCGGATACACAAAGCCATTAGCGACGCTAAATTAAAGAATTGAACCATACACAGCTGTGTCCCGGCAAGTCCTGCACAACTTCAGTTCACCGTACAAGATCACTTACTACAACATTTTTCGTCAAACTCGAAACACACTGACGCGCTGTTCGTTCCAACGCACAGAGATGATTGAATGTAAATGCATGTTGAACCAAAGCCTATCGGATACCTCACAAAAGTATCTAAACTTGAGCGCCGCAAACTCATGAGCAAGTCTGGCTTTGGCTCCATCGGTGCTCTCATGAACTGACTCTGCTTTGACTCCTCATTGCTTGTTTCTTCAACGCATCCCGCTTGATCTCTCGCCGAGCGTAGTCCGCGTCTGCCCATCGACATCGTTCCGCCGCTGCTCCGTTGGCCACGATCCTCTAGTTGTTGACAGGTATATTCTCGAGTGGCAACATGTCAAGGCTCGCTATGAGCAGCCTCTCACTTTGTTGTACTGATCTTTTTCGGACACTGCGGTTCATTGCCAGAACAGCCTTGGTACGACGAGGCGCGGCACCTTTAGGGCGATTCCATAGACAAGAATGTGACTTGTGTGTTAAGTTATGGCGCTCTTTTTGACGGAAATCACTGTTCAGTGACACCAATTTTAAACTTGGCACGGCATCTGCACTGGTATACTACGTGGTTTGGCACGGCGACACCCCAGCTGTCACCATGAACTGGTGAGGCGGCTGCTCCATCGGCTTTGAAGCCGCCGAGGAGTGTTGAATGCTCGTCTTCGCGTAACGTCACGAGCTTGAGGCACGGCAAAGGTGGTTCGCAGTGGTGGTGAATGTTATGGCAACGACGTGGTGAGGCTTTCTCTATACAACAGCCATTTTACATGATTGGGCTCACAGCTTCACTCTTAAAGCGAGAATTGAACAGGGAGCGACAGCATCACAAATAAACATTTCCTTGTCCGCCGTGCACGACGAGAAAATTGCATGTTTGAAACATTAGCCTGCTTTTGTCGCTGAACACAACATTTACTGAAACATAGCCGAGTCGTTCCTCCACACGTCTGACGTGTTTAATTGTGATTACCACTGCACACATCTTTTTCTGCTCGTTTTTGCGTCTTCAGTCGGCTTTCTGGTAGTGCACATAAAAGACGCGGCATATGTAGGTTCACATAGACACGCACAGTGAAATATGCACACATACTTTGGGGATTACCCTCTCACATTTTAGTGTTTATCCACCATTACAAAACAACATAATGCCACCAGATTCGTCCTTAGGGACACACTTCTTCTAACTGTCATTGTACTGTCTTCAATATCTCTTTTTCTTCACTTAAGGCATGCATTCTTTAGTTTTTTTGTGTGTTTTTTGCCATTTGTCTCTGCCATCTTCAAGTTTCTGCCATTTTGGGTAACGCCATACGACCACAGAGTTTGACGCTGCCCTTCTTATCTCGCGTTTGCCTTTTACTTTCTCGCTGTACTTCTTCATCAGCTCCGCCATTTGCAAGACCGCGCCTGTCCACAAAAGATGGCGGCGGCCGCGACAAAATGCACTCAGGAGACCATCCGTCATTCTTGAGTGCCGCTGAGTCGAATCATCGTTTGTGGTTGTTTTCAAAGACAGAGTGTACTCCATAGATTAAACTTCGACGTTGTTGTTTCGACAACACAGTAAGTATAATGACGTTAGCGAGAGAAAAAAAGCAGACACCTATGGTCAAGATATATGCAGGCATATCATGTCCTAAGAACGAGGGGTGCTGATACAAACCCGGAAAAAAAGTATGGCTGGTCAGAAAACAAGCACTCACACTGCATGATAATAAGCTTTAGCAGAGACTTTACATAGAAGACATACAAATAAATATCATAGAATAGGATCTAGACCAAACTTCCACCTTGACTAGACATATTCTAACTCCGGAGAATAATACAAAAGTTTATCTTATTTCAACACATCCATACTATCTAAGAATGAAAATGGTGACATGTCCTTGCATGTATTGTAGGTTAGAAGAGGAGAGGGGAAAAATGTTGCTACCGTTAATTATGGTTTTATAGACAGTGACAATGTTCATGCATGGATAGTTGTTTAGATAGACATATTAGTTAGGGTCTCTTGCCGTTTATATTTCGGGACAACAAAGAAGTAGATAATTACTTTTCCACAGAAGCTGTCAGGTTTGCATGCGTCATATCCATCTGTTAGTTGGGAGTTACTTTTGCCAAACTTTGAAAGAGTTAGCCTTATTGCGTTGCACTAAAACATTTAGAAGCATTAATATTGTCTTCAGTGGAGTAAGTCACACGGGGAGGATGCATTACATTTACCCAATCAGAAACTTGGTGACAACAAGAAAACATTGATCGTACCTTGATACATGAATAAAGTGCGAGCGCATTTTGTCTATGTTTACATTCGCACTGTCAAACCTGCTGACCTCCAACTTCATTATTTGTAGAAAATGCGTGGATTCTCTTCTCTTTGTTGTAATCATGCGTTTGTCGGTCTCCAGAGGCCAATTTATGCAATGAAAAAATTCTACAGAAAGCGACAGATGATCCCGAAAGACAGTTTTTTTTTTATTTTTGCACCGCTAACTTCTACGTGACAATATAACCTTTTTGGCAAGTAGGTCATGCAGAATCAACAAGCCAAAAAGTAGGGTAGTTTAGGTTCCTCCCAGAAGTTCATAGCTTGACGTGTGGCGCTAATGTTGATTTACTCGCGATTCTACCTAAGAAAGTAACTGTTGAAAGGTCGTAGTTATTTTTGGTACCTGAGTACCCATAAAGCGCAAAAGAAAAAAATGCGGTGCAAAAATGCCGCGATCCAATGTGATATTTTTATGCTCCGAAAGCAACGTGGGCGTTTTGGCCACTCTTAGTGAATCCCTTAAAGTGATTCACGTATAGACAATCAAGCACTCCATGTCACGACAAAAAACCAACAGGGCAGATAAGATAAACACGAATTATATTCTAGAAAGTGAACTTGCTTACCACTATCAACTGTTTTACGATCCATGAGCTTTTTTCTCACAAGATACAGTGTCACAAATGCAGCAGAACACTAGAGGTATGTTAATGGGCCACAAAAATTAAGTTTTATTACACCACTCAGCAGACTCCAACGCTGTCCAGATTTATTGTTTTTTTTTGCCTCTCTGTAATCTTCTCAAATAACTTAAAATGGCACAGAACATTTTTACGAATGTAGGTAAACCATTTTTTTTCTAGCAGTGCCTTTTCGACCTTACCTGTGCATTCATGTTCTTGCTTTACGAAACTTTTTTATTGATCCTCTTCCCACTTCTGCCTGACTCTTTTACACAGAAAAATTAAATAAACACAGATAAAAACACGAAGGCTTGCGCCCCTCAAACAAATGACACAGATTTTCATCTTCATCCGAGCAGACGCAAGGGCGACAATGTCCGGTTTGATTTCCGTCGAAGGTCTTTTCTCTCTTTACGCCACTTTTACGTTCACCTTGCCGATTCAAGAAGCGCCGAATGCCTCTCAGTTGCGGGTTTCCGAAAACGTCGCAATCGAGACTACATTCTTCTCCATCGCCGATACCTATCTCCTTCTCCCTCTCATCTCTTACCCTCCGTGCCCTTTACTCTTTTCGACCTACAATCCGCCTTGTCGGCTCGCGCTGGGTCAACGCTTTGTCTTCCGCAACCGAGTTCACTCGGCTCTGCTAAAGCTGTCTCGCCCACGCGTTGATAGAGGCAAAACGACGTTTCAGTTCGCTTGCCCCTTGTTTTTCTCTTCTCCGAAGGGCTCAGCATTTGCGAAATTTCGTGCATCGTACTTGATTTATTGCTGTGTAAATCTGGGCTCAAACTGCCGCGAGAAACGGTGACTCTTCTCAGACGACGTTGCTATAAGTACTAAGGCAATGCTGCAGTCAGACATTTTCTTTTTCAGATTACGCAAACAAACTATCGTTTTTTTTCTTTCGTTTTCTTACACCCCCAATTTCTTTCCCAAGTAGGTGGCAGCAAAGCGGAGACTTCCTCTGGTCAACCTTCCCGTCTTCAGTTCCTATTTCTCTCTCTGCCATTTCTGAGACCTGAGGGAGAAATAAATATTGAAATATAATATCTGTGGTTTCATGTCCTGAAGTCACCATTCGGTTATGAGAGACCATCTAGTGGAGTGCTTCGGAAGTTTTGACTGCCTGATGTTCTTTAGCGTGCAGTCACATCATTCAGTACATGCGCATCTCACAATGGTCCTTCATTCAATTGCAACCGCCATGGCTGGGACCATACGTGCATCTTGCGGGGTCAACAGCAGAGCCTCTAAACCACTATACCATTGCGGTTGACCTGGACAAAAGGAAAGAGTAGTCAATGCGATTGTATTAGATCAAGACATTTATGCGAGCCTGTATTCCCCTTGATGCCTTTTGCATAATCTGAAGGGTCCCTTTGCGGCAAAAAACAAAATAAAAAACATTACTCACGTTCTTTGAGAAGGTAAAGTTTTGTCCAAGAAGTGTTTTTGACTGTGTTTGGTACCATTGAATGTTTTATTGCAAAAAGGAAAAAAAAACTCCTAGAATACAGACACGCAACATCTACGCACATTCCTAAAGCTTCGTGTGTCGCATTAGCACTACGTATGCCATTAAACGTGTAATCATAACATATATGATACGTGACCCGCCACAGTGGTCTAGTAGCTAAGGTACTCAGCTGCTGAGCCGCGGGTCGCGGGATTGAAACCGGGTTGCTGCAGCTGCATTTTCAATGGCGGCGAAAATGCTGTAGGCCCATGTGCTCAGAATTGGGTGCGCGTTAAAGAAACCCAGATGGTCAAAATTTATGAACCCTCCACTATGGCGTCTCCCCTATCCATATGATAAATTTTGGACGTTAAACCCCACATAATAATCAATCAATCAATCAATCAATTATTCGTGTATTGCGTCAATATTTGTAATTAGGACGCATTATGCTTATCATGAAGTGTTTGTTCATATAAATTTAGCTATTTCACACACTTCTATTTATATCTTTTACAATTGTGCAACAAAGAGTTTCTTTAGATTTTATAATTTTGAAAACAGTATATAAATACAGATTGCCACCGTTTATTGTCGAAATAGTACGTTTTTTTATGCTCAGGAACTGAAGAATGCCTGATGTAAAAAGCACTTGCTCCCAGTTTCACTGCATGTAACTATGCCGACCATGCGCTTGTGCTCAGAAACACTGCGGCATTTCTTCGCATCTGGGCCAAAGCGAGAACCCGCCAAACTCGCATGAAAAAAGCTAAGCGCGAAACGAACGAGACTCTAAAACATAGACAACCCTGTCGCTTCTCGTCTCCGTGCAATTTTCTCCGCGGAGCAGGCAGAGGCGC